CGAGTCAACTCACTACAGCAGTGATCTTCGACCAACAGCAAAGCAGCTTTGGAAGCCATCAATAGGTGTTTTGGAGCTTGGGGTTTTAAATGCTGAAGGGCTCCACCCAACAAAAACAAGAGAGGGGAAGGGTACCTCAGATACATACTGTGTGGCAAAGTATGGTCAGAAATGGGTTCGGACTCGAACCATAATCAACAGCCTCAGCCCAAAATACAACGAGCAGTACACATGGGAGGTTTTTGATCCTGCAACAGTTCTCATTGTAGGGGTTTTCGATAACAACCAGCTTGGTGGTTCCAATGGTAATAAAGACACAAGAATTGGCAAGGTTCGGATTCGACTGTCTACCCTTGAAACTGGTCGTGTTTATACACATTCATACCCGCTACTAGTCCTTCACCCTTCTGGTGTCAAGAAGATGGGTGAATTACATCTAGCCATAAGATTCTCCAACACATCATTCACAAACATGCTGTTTCAATATGCACGACCACTTTTGCCAAAGATGCACTATGTAAGGCCATTGACTGTAACGCAGCAGGACATGCTACGTCATCAGGCTGTCAATTTAGTAGCAGCTCGTCTTGGTCGGTCTGAACCTCCTCTTAGGAAAGAAGTCATAGAATACATATCTGATGCAGACTCGCATCTTTGGAGCATGAGGCGCAGCAAGGCAAACTTCTTCAGGCTGATGTCAGTTTTCTCAGGATTGCTTTCTGTAGGAAAATGGTTCGGTGAAGTTTGCATGTGGAAGAATCCCATCACTACAGTTCTAGTACAAATCCTCTTTGTTATGCTAATCTGTTTTCCAGAACTGATTTTGCCAACTGTGTTTCTATACATGTTTCTGATAGGGGTTTGGAATTATCGTTTCCGACCACGCTACCCTCCTCACATGAACACAAGAATTTCTCATGCAGATGCAGTGAATCCTGATGAGCTTGACGAGGAATTCGACACATTTCCATCAAGACAGAGTCCAGATATAGTTCGTTTTAGGTATGATCGACTAAGGAGTGTGGCTGGGAGGATCCAGACTGTTGTTGGTGATGTGGCTACCCAAGGAGAGCGGGTTCAAGCGCTACTAAGCTGGAGGGATCCTCGCGCCACAACTATCTTCTTGATTTTCTGTCTAGTGGTTGCCATAGTGTTGTATGCAACACCTTTTCAGGTGCTTGCTCTTCTTGGGGGGTTTTACTTTATGAGGCATCCCATGTTTCGTCACAAGACTCCATCAGCACCAATTAATTTCTTCCGTCGTCTGCCGGCGAGGACAGATAGCATGTTGTGAAGTTGTAATTGGTTTGTTCAGGCAAAAGCCTTGCAAGGGTGTCAGATCTGGATTGTCTCAGTAGTGCTTGTGAATCTCTGGATGTTTGTTTTTCACTTGGTGTTTTGTTTCCCTGGATATCGGTACAAATTTATACATGACAGTAAATTAAGCTAACCATAGTGATCTTGTATTTATGCTTTTGGTATGTAGTGGAGCGGACTCAGCATCAGGTGCCACTGTCGGACTCAGCATCAGGTGCCACTGTTGCTTCTGGGTTTCTGAGCAGAATCATGATATTATTTTGTGCAATTGTTAGTGATACTGGTGTTATGAATTACTTCTTGATGTTAATGCATAAAAAATCTGCATAATCCTTGCAGGAAATTATGATGTATTAGGATGGTGCCTACGTTTATGTTTAACAGGGGTTTGTTTTGGGAATGGGTGAAGGGCATGGCTTCTCTTGCAGAAAATTGTCTGATCACATTTCTGGTCACGAAAATAGCTCTTGTTGGCAGAGACCAATAGCTCCTTCGGCAAGTCCTGTGCTAGCTTGGAGGTATTTGTGCTCATGGGGATTGAGTTGTTCAGACAAATAGACAATGAGTAAATGGCAAACAAGGGCGATTAGATTACAATAAGAAAAATGTACCGCATGAAACTTTTGAAATCCTTGATCACCCAACACACCGCTCCGTGGGCTTGTCAGTTTTCAAATTGATGAGACCTAAAACAACTTCGAAAACAAAAGGCTCATAAACTGCATTGCTGCAAGCCTGCAACCATCAGTCACCTTACTCTTCTAGTCTTTGAGAACTTTTTACAGATAGGATGCAATATTTCAGAACACGAAGGCCTACCAAGCTGCCTTTGAGGCATCTCTCCACTCTTCAGCAATGCAACAGCACCATTTAGTTTAATATAGTTCCATTTGATGGAATCAATTTATAAGTGCTCAATCACAATCCCCAAAATGCTGTGCTCTGTAACTTCTTATTATCATGCAACGCGGCTAGTTTGATCCCTTTCTCATCCAGTTCTTTTAGGACAAGGCAGCATTTTCTTAAAGCTGGAATCCCTCAAATGTTGCACTCTATTTTTGGCTGTCTGAGATTCATCTCAAAGTAGAAATCCACTGCATCAACCTTTGCCCTAACATGAGTAAACTCTGTCCCATACAAGATTTATCTAGCCCAGATGCACTTTCATTTAGGTTTGCTAGAGTTTCTAAAATTCCAAAGTCACTGTCATAGAACAAAGACAGAAACTCATCCATGAATTCAAGAACAAGGCTAATGTGCCGTAACATAAATAGCCTCCTGTCTTTAAACTCTCCCGTTTAATTTCGTTGGCTTCAACTGATCTTTTCGATTATGCTCTCAACTTCGGCAGATATTTCCTCATCTATAAAGTTTCAATTGATTAGGCTTGTTAGATTTCAGAGACATCTAATATCTTACATAAACAGAATAAAAAGTTTAAATTTTTGCGAGGATTAAAAAGGGCTTGTATTCATCTATATTCCCATTATACCTTTCATTAAAATTGTTTTGATTGAATTTAAATAATTAATTATTTACTAAAGTTCAATTAGGAAAAGTAATTAATATCTTCATTAATTTTTTACATGTGTTCGCCACCGGTGTCCAGCCACTCAAAAGCAACCCTCACACTGAACAGCTTTGAGAAAGGTGGAGATGGTGGTTCACCGCTAGAACGTGATAACTGTCAAATAATTAATTTAAATTCATTTTAAATTATTAGGTGTGTTTTTAAGATAAAATAAGTTTATATTATTTTATATTTATTTTTTATTAAATAAATAAAAATATTAAAATTTATATTTATAATCCTTTGAGTCTAAAATTTAGAATGTTCAAGTTTGATGAAAAAAAAAAAAAGTCAATGAAGAGTTTGCAAGGTTTATCAAGTAGGTATTTATATACGTGCTTGTGTGAGGGGTTTGCTGATTAAGATCCAGAGAAGGAGAGAATCGAGAAATGCAGAGAGCAAAAGAAGAGGAGAGATGCAAAGAGCAAAATAAAGAGAGGGATGGCGGCTGATTTTGTGTTTAGGAATGCTACTTTAGATTTAGGGTTAGAAAAAAAATCATATTTATATTTGTTTTTTTTATGTGCTGGCCTGATTAAACTAGTTTGATTTGGTTCGGTTCAATCAATTTTAAATTTTAAAAACTAATTTTTTTTTTGTGATTTTTTAATTGATTAATTCAATTTATTTTTGTTTGTTTTTTTTTTTAATTTTTTTGATTTAATCCATTTATCAGGTTTTTTGCACATCCCCACATGGGAGTGCTTGGAATTGATTGGGGTAAAATGGAAGTGCATTGGTCCGATGCATGATGTATCAAATCTGTAGTCTAGTTGTACTTGTATCGGTTTGATGCACACTCTAGATTATATTCTCTGTTTAAACGTATTATGGAGCTAGAAGGAGTTGCAGGATTATGTTTGTGATTCTATATTATGAAGATGTGATTCCATGACATTTTGATTTAATGGAAACATAAACTCTTCTCCAAAAAAATTGTCAGGTTCAATCCAATTAGATGGCCTGTATTCAGCCTCTATGATCCTCTATTAAATATGAAGATTCTTTTCTTGAAAAAGCTTTTTAGTCCTAATGATTCTGCCATTAAGTGGCCATATATCGCAGCTGTTATTTTTAATCAAGTCAGAAATACCAATATTTTCAGAAAGACCATGCATGATGCAACTAAGAAAAAGCAAAGAACTCACCGCAGGATAAGCTTCAAACTTATTATTGGTTTTGCTATGAGTTGAGATAGAATCTAAAAAAAACTCAAGCTTCAATTGAAACTAGCAAGCCAAAAGGTTGTGACAGCGTTTGGTTTCAATCACCTGGAAATGAGGATCATGGACAGGAAAAGCACCCACTGGATATCAGATGACATAATTTTTAATGTTTTTCATAAAATGGGAATTCTAAGAACATGGAAAACCAGAGAGACTATTGATTTAAAGCTTCTGTAGTACCATAAATTAGGCTCAAAGATTACAGAAGCCGTTGAAAAATTTCAGGTAGCAACTCAGGGTATATTGCCACTACCAGAAAATTTATTCCAGCTTATGATTGCATAAAAATAATCCAACATATAGTAAACACAGCTGATATATTTCGTGTAAAAAGTGCCTTTCCATGTTTAAAGAAAAATATTTTAAAGCCGGTACTCTGAGGCACTAAACGAAATGGTCTAAAATTACTCAAGCAGACAAAGTATTGATCATGGATTTATGATGCAGATGTGACAAGATGACCATTTGTGATTTTCCTTGCCACGAGACATTGTGATGCGACTGAGCAGGAATCGTTCCTACCTGCATATCGAATACGATGCCTTTCAGCAGTTCATCAAAAAAGTTGAAGACAGCAGTCATATATAATAAACACATAAAAGAGAGTAAATAATTGGAAGTGGAATATTAGTTCACACTATACCAGGAAAGGACAATCTTGTTGATAGTATCCTGAGGCAGACGCTGCGTGCTTCCACAATTCTGATGCCTTTATATTGTTTTTATTAACAAAACCAAGTTTCGACGAAAACTCAGAAGGGACAACAGTATAGCTGGTCATTTTGTAACATTTCAAGAGTAACGTGGTAAGTTTCATAAGGTCATTGCTATAAATGCAGGCCAGGATATCCTGTCCAGCAAACTCATATAAGGCAATAACAGACATACAGAAGAGTGAGAGAATGAAGGCTTTTAGCATGAAAAACTCTGTTTTTCTCCTAGCTATTCTTGTCTTAACCTGTACTTTGCATATTGAAGCTCAGCAATGCCATCCAAGCGGCCGGATCAGGGGAACGAATCCTCCTCCGGACCAATGCAACCAAGAGAACGATTCGGACTGTTGCAAAAAGGGCAAGTACTACACAACCTACAAATGTTCACCGCCGGTGTCCAGAAGCACAAAAGCAACCCTTACCCTGAACAGCTTTCAGAAGGGTGGGGATGGAGGCGCACCATCAGAGTGTGACAATCAATACCACTCCGATGACACACCTGTGGTGGCGCTTTCAACTGGATGGTACAGCAAAGGGAATAGATGCTTAAACTACATAAATATCCATGGTAATGGAAAGAGCGTTAAGGCCATGGTAGTTGATGAATGCGACTCTACAATGGGATGTGATTCTGACCATGATTATCAGCCTCCTTGTCCTAACAACATTGTGGATGCTTCGAAAGCTGTTTGGAAAGCGTTGGGAGTTCCTGAAAGCGACTGGGGTGAAATGGATATTTACTGGTCTGATGCCTGATCCGATACCGATGGCTTTCTCATTTTTTGTGGCATCTGGTTGATGCATACCCTATACTATGCAACCGGTACACTGTGTGTTAAAGCTAGAAAAGGGTTGTGATATTATGTTTATCTTCGTCCATAAAATCTTAATTATGAAAATGTGATTATGTTTTTATTTGAATAAAAGAAACGATGTCTTCAGCAAGAACTGTTGTTAGCTTGACCAGACTACTGATTATACAAGCATTTAATGACCACACTGTGACCATAATTCCAAAGTGACAGCCTCTCAATTCTCAAACGGATCAGCTATCTTCCCCTCACGAGACAGGGGGAGGACATGAGAAAGTTCGTGGAACCTTCCATGCTGAAGTCACATTTGCTTGCAAGATATCATGCTTTCAGGCAGATCAATTAACTACAGGAATTTTTGTTGAAGTAACAAGCCACGCATTATTATCTTAGGCTAACAAAGTACACACTTACGTCAGTGAGATTTCAGTCGAAATCCAATGTAGATCGAGAAAAGGTTGATGGGAAATTCTTGTCTATTTAATCAAAATTTGTCAGAATTTTACCGATGGAAAGTTGAATAAAAGGTATGGCGCCGTAATTATGCTGACATTTTTTTCTGAGACTATTATGTCAGGTTTGAACTTGAAAATCGATTAATTACCTCATCAAACTGTATTGAAAATGGTCTGAAGTCTGTTCATATGAATAATGAAGGAGCTGTTTTTTTTTCTTTTTTTCTTTTTTCTTTCCTCAAATGAATTTTTTTAGTTTGTTTTTATTAAAATTTTATCATTAAATATTACACTAATCTTAAATTATTTTTCATAATTTATTTTGTTTTTTTATAATATTATTATAATTTTCAAACAAAAAAATTTATATTTGGTTAATATTTAATTTTGTAAACATATATATTTTTTATCATTTCATTAAATTAGAGATAGTTAGAAAAAAATTAAATTTAATGGAGTGTATGGTTAGTATTATGAGTTTGACGAGTTAAATTATAAAACTCAAGTTGATCTAATATGTCATTATTTTAATATTATAAAAAAATCTCACTTTTATTTTTTAAAAAAACAAACTACATTTTCTAATGATCATTCGTGTTATCTTTGTATTAATCAAGTTGATTAGATTATGTCAAGAATGTTAATTTTTAACCTAGAGCAAGGAATTAAGTCAAGAGGTCTCAAGATTAATTGCCTAGGTTTACCTTTTTTTATTTTTATTTTTTAATTTTCATTAATTTTTTACATGTGTTCGCCACCGGTGTCCAGCCACTCAAAAGCAACCCTCACACTGAACAGCTTTGAGAAAGGTGGAGATGGTGGTTCACCGCTAGAACGTGATAACTGTCAAATAATTAATTTAAATTCATTTTAAATTATTAGGTGTGTTTTTAAGATAAAATAAGTTTATATTACTTTATATTTATTTTTTATTAAATAAATAAAAATATTAAAATTTATATTTATAATCCTTTGAGTCTAAAATTTAGAATGTTCAAGTTTGATGAAAAAAAAAAAAAGTCAATGAAGAGTTTGCAAGGTTTATCAAGTAGGTATTTATATACGTGCTTGTGTGAGGGGTTTGCTGATTAAGATCCAGAGAAGGAGAGAATCGAGAAATGCAGAGAGCAAAAGAAGAGGAGAGATGCAAAGAGCAAAATAAAGAGAGGGATGGCGGCTGATTTTGTGTTTAGGAATGCTACTTTAGATTTAGGGTTAGAAAAAAAATCATATTTATATTTGTTTTTTTTATGTGCTGGCCTGATTAAACTAGTTTGATTTGGTTCGGTTCAATCAATTTTAAATTTTAAAAACTAATTTTTTTTTTGTGATTTTTTAATTGATTAATTCAATTTATTTTTGTTTGTTTTTTTTTTTAATTTTTTTGATTTAATCCATTTATCAGGTTTTTTGCACATCCCCACATGGGAGTGCTTGGAATTGATTGGGGTAAAATGGAAGTGCATTGGTCCGATGCATGATGTATCAAATCTGTAGTCTAGTTGTACTTGTATCGGTTTGATGCACACTCTAGATTATATTCTCTGTTTAAACGTATTATGGAGCTAGAAGGAGTTGCAGGATTATGTTTGTGATTCTATATTATGAAGATGTGATTCCATGACATTTTGATTTAATGGAAACATAAACTCTTCTCCAAAAAAATTGTCAGGTTCAATCCAATTAGATGGCCTGTATTCAGCCTCTATGATCCTCTATTAAATATGAAGATTCTTTTCTTGAAAAAGCTTTTTAGTCCTAATGATTCTGCCATTAAGTGGCCATATATCGCAGCTGTTATTTTTAATCAAGTCAGAAATACCAATATTTTCAGAAAGACCATGCATGATGCAACTAAGAAAAAGCAAAGAACTCACCGCAGGATAAGCTTCAAACTTATTATTGGTTTTGCTATGAGTTGAGATAGAATCTAAAAAAAACTCAAGCTTCAATTGAAACTAGCAAGCCAAAAGGTTGTGACAGCGTTTGGTTTCAATCACCTGGAAATGAGGATCATGGACAGGAAAAGCACCCACTGGATATCAGATGACATAATTTTTAATGTTTTTCATAAAATGGGAATTCTAAGAACATGGAAAACCAGAGAGACTATTGATTTAAAGCTTCTGTAGTACCATAAATTAGGCTCAAAGATTACAGAAGCCGTTGAAAAATTTCAGGTAGCAACTCAGGGTATATTGCCACTACCAGAAAATTTATTCCAGCTTATGATTGCATAAAGATAATCCAACATATAGTAAACACAGCTGATATATTTCGTGTAAAAAGTGCCTTTCCATGTTTAAAGAAAAATATTTTAAAGCCGGTACTCTGAGGCACTAAACGAAATGGTCTAAAATTACTCAAGCAGACAAAGTATTGATCATGGATTTATGATGCAGATGTGACAAGATGACCATTTGTGATTTTCCTTGCCACGAGACATTGTGATGCGACTGAGCAGGAATCGTTCCTACCTGCATATCGAATACGATGCCTTTCAGCAGTTCATCAAAAAAGTTGAAGACAGCAGTCATATATAATAAACACATAAAAGAGAGTAAATAATTGGAAGTGGAATATTAGTTCACACTATACCAGGAAAGGACAATCTTGTTGATAGTATCCTGAGGCAGACGCTGCGTGCTTCCACAATTCTGATGCCTTTATATTGTTTTTATTAACAAAACCAAGTTTCGACGAAAACTCAGAAGGGACAACAGTATAGCTGGTCATTTTGTAACATTTCAAGAGTAACGTGGTAAGTTTCATAAGGTCATTGCTATAAATGCAGGCCAGGATATCCTGTCCAGCAAACTCATATAAGGCAATAACAGACATACAGAAGAGTGAGAGAATGAAGGCTTTTAGCATGAAAAACTCTGTTTTTCTCCTAGCTATTCTAGTCTTAACCTATACTTTACATATTGAAGCTCAGCAATGCCATCCAAGCGGCCGGATCAGGGGAACGAATCCTCCTCCGGACCAATGCAACCAAGAGAACGATTCGGACTGTTGCAAAAAGGGCAAGTACTACACAACCTACAAATGTTCACCGCCGGTGTCCAGCAGCACAAAAGCAACCCTTACCCTGAACAGCTTTCAGAAGGGTGGGGATGGAGGCGCACCATCAGAGTGTGACAATCAATACCACTCCGATGACACACCTGTGGTGGCGCTTTCAACTGGATGGTACAGCAAAGGGAATAGATGCTTAAACTACATAAATATCCATGGTAATGGAAAGAGCGTTAAGGCCATGGTAGTTGATGAATGCGACTCTACAATGGGATGTGATTCTGACCATGATTATCAGCCTCCTTGTCCTAACAACATTGTGGATGCTTCGAAAGCTGTTTGGAAAGCGTTGGGAGTTCCTGAAAGCGACTGGGGTGAAATGGATATTTACTGGTCTGATGCCTGATCCGATACCGGTGGCTTTCTCATTTTTTTGTGGCATCTGGTTGATGCATACCCTATACTATGCAACCGGTACACTGTGTGTTAAAGCTAGAAAAGGGTTGTGATATTATGTTTATCTTCATCCATAAAATCTTAATTATGAAAATGTGATTCTGTTTTTATTTGAATAAAAGAAATGATGTTTTCAGCAAGAACTGTTAGCTTGACAGACTACTGATTATACAACTTCAGCAAGAACTGTTGTTAGCTTGACCAGACTACTGATTATACAAGCATTTAATGACCACACTGTGACCATAATTCCAAAGTGACAGCCTCTGAATTCTCAAACGGATCAGCTATCTTCCCCTCACGAGACAGGGGGAGGACATGAGAAAGTTCGTGGAACCTTCCATGCTGAAGTCACATTTGCTTGCAAGATATCATGCTTTCAGGCAGATCAATTAACTACAGGAATTTTTGTTGAAGTAACAAGCCACGCATTATTATCTTAGGCTAACAAAGTACACACTTACGTCAGTGAGATTTCAGTCGAAATCCAATGTAGATCGAGAAAAGATTGATAGGAAATTCTTGTCTATTTAATCAAAATTTGTCAGAATTTTACCGATGGAAAGTTGAATAAAAGGTATGGCGCCGTAATTATGCTGACATTTTTTTCTGAGACTATTATGTCAGGTTTGAACTTGAAAATCGATTAATTACCTCATCAAACTGTATTGAAAATGGTCTGAAGTCTGTTCATATGAATAATGAAGGAGCTGTTTTTTTTTCTTTTTATTTTTTTTTCTTTCCTCAAATGAATTTTTTTAGTTTGTTTTTATTAAAATTTTATCATTAAATATTACACTAATCTTAAATTATTTTTCATAATTTATTTTGTTTTTTTATAATATTATTATAATTTTCAAACAAAAAAATTTATATTTGGTTAATATTTAATTTTGTAAACATATATATTTTTTATCATTTCATTAAATTAGAGATAGTTAGAAAAAAAATTAAATTTAATGGAGTCTATGGTTGGTATTATGAGTTTGACGAATTAAATCATTAAATCATAAAACTCAAGTCAATCTAATATGTTATTATTTTAATATTATATTAAATTTAATGGAGTGTATGGTTAGTATTATGAGTTTGACGAGTTAAATTATAAAACTCAAGTTGATCTAATATGTCATTATTTTAATATTATAAAAAAATCTCACTTTTATTTTTTAAAAAAACAAACTACATTTTCTAATGATCATTCGTGTTATCTTTGTATTAATCAAGTTGATTAGATTATGTCAAGAATGTTAATTTTTAACCTAGAGCAAGGAATTAAGTCAAGAGGTCTCAAGATTAATTGCCTAGGTTACCCTTTTTTGTTCTTTTTTTTTTTTAATTTTATCTTTTAATTTTTTTTCTTTTTATTAATTTTTTTAAGTCAAGAGGTCTCAAGATTAATTGCCTAGGTTTACCTTTTTTTATTTTTATTTTTTAATTTTATCTTTCAATTTTTTTTTGATTAATTTTTTTTTATTTTATCATTCAATATTTAATTGATTTTTAATTGTCTTCATAACTTATTTTGATTTACTTTCTATAAAATTATTTCAGTCTCAGCCAAAAATTATAGTATTTGATTGGTGTTCTAATTTACAAATATCTATTTTTATTATTATATCATCAAATATTTTTTTAAATAATAAAATTATTAAATTGAATAGAGTTAATAATCCTGGTTATACATCCTGAGTCGTGTCACTGCAACATTAAAATACTCTTCAATTTCATCAGAAAAGATTATTAAAACGGTCTGCATAAAACAACCACACAAAAACAAACGACAGTTATTCTGATGGTGCCCCCTTTTGGTCCGTCAGGCAGACGTTGTATGCCGCCGCCCTTAATTCTGATGCCTTTATTTCGATTTTGCTGGAAAACCCAAGCAGCACAATGCCATTTTAACCATCAAAATTCAAACGATAAGGAAAACAGACGTGCCTGGTCATTCTATAATATTCTGCAAGACGTGCCTGGTCATTCTATAATATTCTGACAATAATGGGATCAAGTCATTGTTATAAATACTGACGGGGAAATCCTATCCTACCTCAAACACAATAAGCAAACACAACTAATAGGGGCCAGGCAGAATTTGTTGAGGAGAATGAAGGTTTTTAGCATGAAGCATTCTGTTCTTCTCGTAATCGTTCTCCTTTTCACACTCTCTTTAGACATTGAAGCTCAGCAATGCCGTCCGAGTGGCCAAATTAGGGGCAGGAAGCCACCTCCCAACCAATGCAACCAAGAAAATGATTCAGATTGTTGTAAAGACGGCAAGTACTACACAACTTATACATGTTCACCACAGGTGACTAGCCAGACCAAAGCCTTCCTCACTCTGAATAGTTTCGAGGCAGGTGGAGATGGTGGTGGTCCATCAGAATGTGACAAGCAGTACCATTCTGATGATACACCAATTGTTGCATTATCAACTGGATGGTTTAATCATAAGAGTAGGTGCCATAACAACATCACCATAACAGCAAACAGACTCAGTGTTGCAGCCATGGTTGTCGACGAGTGTGACTCCACTATGGGATGTGATGAAGTCCATGATTATCAGCCGCCATGTGATAACAACATTGTTGATGCTTCAAAGGCGGTGTGGAAAGCTTTGGGCGTGCCGGAAGATAATTGGGGTTGGCTTGAAATTACATGGACTGATCATGCTTAGTTTTCATATCATTTTCCTATGAATAAAACTATAATCCCTAGTATTATTGTTGTTTAAGTACATGGAAGTTTGTAGCCTTGCAGATTTTCTGTAGTGAATCATGCTAATTAATATCATATCTATTCACTTCAATATTGAAGGTGTAAATCTTATTAGCAGTAATGTTTAGCATTTCTCAGCAGTGATTAAACCAAGATGCTACCCTGCTATTTCATGTCTACAACTCTGTCCATACACAACCCCAGAATATCCAGCATTGGAACTACTTGATAAAGCTACCTAGAACATGGACATGTTGACGTGATGCGATCATTACAAGAATCAAACGACTTATAGGTTCACTTGGGTAATTTTTTCCTATTATTAATTAATAAAGAAGATTACATTGGTGGCATCGTTGTTTCTGCTCGAGTACATGTTATACAAACATTACTTGTCGAGCCTTTGCTATGTTGTCAATCTGTTTTTAGTCACCTTGTAAAAACGGCACTGTCACCAGTAATTTAAAAAGGAGAAATCCATTAGGCCAGCCATGGATTGTTTATTACGAAGCTCATTGTCCAAGTCTATTACTTCTGCATATTGTTTATCACTTAAGGCAATCTCTCTATATAGCCTCCATCATTCCCTTTATGCATCAAGTGCCAAAGATTGAGGACAAGATGAAGAATTTCAGCTTGGCACTGTACATAATTATATTACTCGTGCTCTTTGTTACAAATTCTTTCTGGGAGATTGAAGCCAAGGCTTGCAAGCCTAGTGGCAAAATCAGAGGCAAAAAACCACCTCCAAAAAAATGCAACAAAGAGAACGACTCTGTTTGCTGCGCTGAAGGCGAGCTTTACACAACCTTCAATTGTTCACCACCAGTCACTCATCATACCAAGGCACATCTCACTCTCAACAGCTTCGAGAAGAATGGAGATGGCGGAGGTCCATCTGAATGTGACAAAAAATTCCATTCTGATGACATACCAATTGTGGCACTCTCGACCGGTTGGTTTAACAAGAAAGGTAGGTGTTTCAACAACATAATCATCAGCGGTAACGGACGCAAAGTGAAGGCCATGGTGGTGGATGAGTGTGACTCCATGAGAGGTTGCGATGAAGCCCATGATTATCAACCACCGTGTGATAACAACATTGTTGATGCTTCAAAGGCCGTCTGGGTAGCCTTGGGTGTGCCTAGTGATGACTGGGGTGATTTAGATATTACCTGGTCTGATGCTTGATTCACGCCGCAGGTTTTAGTTTTTTAACAATGTCTTTTGGTTTTACAAAATCATGCACGATTGTTTTTCTTGGGGTCAATTAACAGGAAATTTTCAAGGTAACAAATAATGCGTTCAACGGTAGTTGATTGAAATTCTATGAATAAGAAGAGACATTTGCATGGAAACTAGGAGAAGCTTAAGAATCGCCAACATTTTCTACTTCAATTTCTTTATCGTTGTTTGTTTTGTGTCTACTTGCACGTTGATTGCTTGTAAGCGCTTGTTTTTTTCTGCTCTTGCTCTCGTCCTTGTCGACGAAGAAAAAGGAAAGGAAAAGGAAGAAATTCAAAGGTTATGTCACTTGTGTCTCTCTATGACCACGGCCTATAAATCACATAAAGAAAGAACTGAAAGATTATAACCAGAACAAAGCAGCATTTCTCTTTCTGTGGAAAAATTGAGGGAAGGATAAAAAAGCAATCTGCTGATTTGTACAGGACAATGGCATACTTGCCCAATAACAACAGAAAGGGTGACGTTGCCAAGATATGAAGAATCACTAAGCCTAAGTGCCCTGTAGGATAGAAAAAAGCTTTTACCTCCAGAAAAACAGATAAGTTGAAACAACACTAAAACGTGGAACTACAATGTCATTAAGCTACATTTGATGAGTTCGACCCATGGTCAATCATAAGTAAATGAAGCGAGAAATGTCAAGTGCGGAATCAGATGTCCTCAATCTTCATCATTGGACTTCAGAAGATTATATTCAAGCTGTGCTGAAACAGCAAATTATATACATTGCTCACAGAATAATCAACAGAATCTTTATCCACGCATCAGATCAATGTCAACATGGGTGTTACGCATATCCACTGGCCGTGAACCAGGCCAGACGCCCATAGAGGAGGTTGGAGTAAGATTTTGACTTGGTTGAACACTAGTTGGAGTTACTGGATTCTCAACTGTCTGATGGTCCGAGTCTCTTGCTCCTTCTGGACCTTCCACTTTCTTGTTCTTTGTCTTTGAACCACCACCCCACAAGAAACTCCCGACTATCACCTGGAATCACATCAAATAAGTAAAGCATTTTACATCATGACATATATCATGCCTGATTTTATCATGGACTCATGGCATGAACATGATGCCTAACTATGGAGCACAAAGCAAAGGGCTAATTTGCAACAGACAATCAGGGAGAAACATTCCCTGCCTTGTTCTATCATGGACAATGAAATTAATTTGAACTGAAACTTTATTAACAAAGTAGATCTACTTCTGTACTATCATTGAATGCCTGTTTATAAAACTTTCACATTTATATCAAAATGGCACTAAATCCATTTAATATCTCACCATCGAGAAGTTTTCTGAGCAATTTAAGGATTGCAGTTTTGAGTGCAAAGCAAAAATACTAGAGAGCCAGAACAAGCAAAATGCTACCTGAACAGGGCTTGCCGCAATAAGCACTCCACCAACTCCTCCACCAATAACACGACCATCAGGACTAGCGAGGGAGACACTCAAACCACCAGATCGATTGCGAGAGCCACCATCATTAGCGAGCAGGTAAGAGCCTGACAAGCATAAAATCTCAAAGTGTCCCTATAGAAACACACAAAAAAGGGATTCAGTTGATAAGATCCGCAAAAGATAGAGAAAGAGAACAACTAGATATCTCAAAGCAAAGGCCTAAAATAAGGGTGACAGTTCTGCACATCTAGTTGAGTAGTTACAAGATGAGAGTTTTATTATAAAATCAAATGAGCGTTCAGGTCAATCTACATCCCTGTCTGTATATGGTGGATTTGGAGGGCGGGGAACGATACATTGATCACTTAACGCCAGAATGGTCTCAAAATTCACTAGCCAAAAAAGAAAGTATCCAGCTATCATAGTCTAAATCCCCTCAACAACCAACAAAGACTTGTGCAGAGTAAGCATTTAACAAGTTCTAGAAGCAAAAACCAATTTTCACATGGCGAGTTCCTCCAAATCAAATAAGTCAGATTAACCTTTCCTAAATTCAAACAACTCCTTGTATCAGTCATTGAGAAGAGAGGATCCATAATGCCCGAGGCATATGCTTGGGTAAAACAACAAGTGTCAATTAGGATAACACCTTTAGTCACATGCTTCTATGGATGTGAGCATATTCTTGAAGCTCGACCTCGAGGTATAAAGCTCGCACATCTAAAGATTAAGAAATCAGACCTCATATGTGACAGTGCCTCCAGAGGTTGATGGCTGACGTAGTGTCACGGTAGAAACAGCACCATTTGCTGACAAGATGCATACAGCTCTTGGACCCTGCTGTGAGAATGACATTATTTTTGTTGCAATGTCCTGCAGAAGAAGTTTGCATTTTCAATAGGAAAGAACAAATGCCAATAGAACCAAAATATCAAAGGACACTGATGAAGCAAGCATGCTGGGGTAAGATAAAAAACAAATCAGGCGTTATTGTTTTCTATTTTCCATGTAGATATTGTTCTTCGGTGCATGCACTATGTTGCACCAGATAAAGACTAAATGATATAGACAATAGCCATCAGAGAACGAATAGATGAAATAGATAATAGTCATCAGAGAAAAATCAAATGATATCAGACCAGCCAAGAGTAGATCCCTTTTATTTCTTTTTCATCTGAATTTTGTTGCACACCAATGTCATCTGCATACTCCTGCTTCATCCTTCTCAAATTCTCTCTTAGAACACAATAAATACGCAGTTGTAGTATTATCAGAGTACTTGGTGAGTCCTATTTGCTAGTAAAGATTTTATAACACGAGTTAATATGTTGCATCAACCCTGCTCCATCCAGCCACATCATAGGTTGACCAGAATAATTATAGAGGGAAGAGCGTGTTGCTATAGCTTTGGCCCTTTTCAAATAAATGTTACAGGGTACACAAAAAAAAAAAAGATTATTAAATAAGAAACAGCATACTTCTCCTACTGCAATAGTGATGATATGGGGAGTAAAACCCATCCCAGCCGAACCAGACAGCCACTCACCTAGCAAAACAATTACAGTTTGCATCATTCAAATGCCGCAAGGACAACAGCAGAAAAAACAAACTTTAGTTCAAATTATAGATCTCAGATAAATCCACCAATACTTGGGTGTCATTTTAATAGGATCACTCTTAGACAGTTATCGTATGAAAGGATTTTGAAATTATCCAAGAATTGAACACCTCTAGATACCCATATCAAAGATACATAAACAATTAAATACAAGCATATAGATACATGTATTTTTTGTTATGCGTGCGCGCACCCATATGTACATAAACATATATAGCAAACGCTGCTGCATGTGGAATTTTCCGCACCTTCGAACACTATAAATTAGGTCATAATTTTTCATCAAGAACATAATTTTGCAATCCAGGATGCTTTATCAACTGCTGCTATGGCTTCTCCTTGAAGCTTCATCCATATTAATGGTTAACTCGGAGACTTGTTTGTTGACCTAACCTGTGTTAGTTGCTTATAATATGCGCTTTACAGTTGACTAAAGGTTGCATAAATAACTAATCATTTCTTTTTCTTTTTTTGTTTCTGAATACTAATTTAATAGCCCATCATTTTAAATTAAATTAACCTATTTTTGGCTCTGTTTATCCCTACTTGATCTAGGTTAGAATGTCACTGGATGCATCTAACAGTTTTTAAATTCTACTCGTGCAATTCCACCTCTAAGTATATGAAAGAGAAGCATTCAAGATTTTGTGCACTTCCTGGCATGTTTGAATTGCAATGACAGAATCTTCTCCTTAAGTAAGAGCCTATGATTCATCTCGGATGAATGACAAGCAATTTGGTCAACTATTTTAGATTAAAAAGAAGATCACTCACAGTACAGAAGATGCATTATGATGCTTGAAATTTTTTTAATTAAAGCATGCAACATGATCCCTTGCACAAAGCGGTAATATTTCACCTAAAGCATGTCGACACAATGCCTTACACAAGGCAATAACCTTTTCAGTAAAATCCACCATCAATTCAACTAAGTCCATCTAAACGAAACACAGAGCAACTTTTACAAAGAAATCTTACCAAGGGAAGCTAATTGTTGCTTCCTCCCAGTCCCTGGTGGCCGCCCTCTACCCCGCTTCTGGGATGGGGTTATTGTCCCTGGATGAGTAGAAAATGAGGAAGACAGTGCCAATGATACAGCCCCATCAGGTCCATATTTCCGGGGCCTTCCCCTTTTTCTTTTTACAGGTTCACCGGAGGGTGGCATTGTAGATGGCACACCCACATTGACTCCATGGGGTGAAATTGCTACTGGATGCTCCATTGGTAATGTCGATCCCATGGTATTGGCTCCAATGTTTGGTTGAAATGCTACATTTGTGTTAGATAAAGTATTTATGTTAGATGAAACATTCATACTACCAGAACTAGTAATCCCTCTGTGCATATAAAATGAGGCAGAGCCCGAAATCGCCATAGTATCCCTTCGATCCATGCATGTACTACTTGCTAGTCTCGCTCCCGAGCAAATTGAACCTGATTTTCAATTATTTGCAAAAATAGATTTATCTTATCTTCTTTGAATTTTAGTGAGAAGCCTTGGTATGAACAGCGAAGAAGGGAACTTTTCTACACGGTATGCCTTCGAGGCAAATGATGGTGACAAGTGCTATAGAGAGTACTGGATCATACAGCTCACATTCTAAAAAAAAAATGCACTTCAATTCAAGCTGGGCAAAACTACAAAAGCAACATTTTCTCAAGAGATGAGAATCTAACAAGCTAGAAATGCAGAAAAAAGCAAAGAAAAGAACTCCAAGGTTTAAAGAAACTTAAAAAAGGAGAAGATTGTAAACAGCAAAATTAAATAAATAAAAAAGGCTAAATAAATGGAAAAGCTAAGAATCTTAAGCAACAAGAAGGGGAAGGAAAAGAAATTGAAATCTGAGAATCTATGAACTTAAAAGATAAGACAAAAATGCTAGCTAATTTTTACAGCTTACCAAACCAAACAAGAAACAACATA